CCGGATGCGTTCGCACGCTCCGCTCCTGCTGCAAGCGACCTTCGTCTACGGAGTGGCTCGTTCGATACGAATGACGAACGAAGGGTGTGATCTGCACGTGTTCAGATTTAAATTTCGACTCGTGCCCTGCATCAGGACGCTGAACCTGCACCTTTTGGAGGCCGTGCATTTCTTAAGGAAAACTGGAGTGGTGCACAAAGACATCACCACCAAAAACGTCACCTACAACCGGTCTGACGGCCGATTCAGGCTCGTCGATTTCGGTTCGGCCGAGTTGTGTGACAGGAGACCGGAGGATTTCGGAATGCGGCTAGAAAGCAGAAACGTCGAAAAATTACTCGGCGGCGATCACGGTGGCGGCGATGCTATGCCGTCGCGGAATTCCCTCTTTCCGGCAGGTAGACTATTCCGACTTGCACGGAAAAGACTCTGCGACCAGGTCGGGCGTCGTTCGCGAACTCTTCGACGTGTGCAAAAACCTGGTGGCACTGAGAGGGGGCATGAATTCGTTCGAGAGTGCATTCTGGTACACGTACGTCAACGAGGACCCGATCCTGCTGGACGCGCTCGTCTCAAAACCTTCGGACTCGGTGCCATTGCTAGATCGCTTCCGAGACGTCCTCGGAGAAAGGTTCGTCGACTGCCTCTGCAAAAACCTCTCGCCGATACCGGAACAGAGGAACTTATCCTGGTTGCAAACTTCGCGGGGAGCTGACGACGAGAGAACGACCATTCGTTGCAACGATCTCCTCGCCGTGAAACGGGCGGACACCAACGTCGTCCACCTTCTATTCAGGGAAGAAGACGTGATAGTCGGTGACGTCAGATATCGCACGGAGGACGACGGTCGGCGACAACGTTCCTCGCTTCATCTGTCTCTTATATCACCTGCAGATCCTCGTCGAGGGACCCGACCTTCCTATGTCGTTCGTCCGGTCGGCGCTGGATCTGGTGGACGTCCGAGCTTCCACGGTTCACTTCGTCGCTTACAACAATAAGGAGCTTCGCACGATCTCGAGATGGTTTCCCGATCACCGAATGACCGAACGAGGACGCCTGGCCGTGAAACTCGACTCTCGCGTGCCCGCCATCTCGCCACTGCGTGCGAACGGGAGCGTACTGCAGCCGTTGGATCTCAACGGAGACCGCGATCGTCGACCGAAGCAACATTCGCTGGAGGTCAACCGAATTTTCGAGGAGATATTCAACAGCATACGGAGATCGAGAATACTCTCTCCGATCTCGAACCGAGGAAGCCTGCCGACTCTGCATTCGAACGAAGACCGACCGACGCAGCAACGTTCGCGCTCCGCCGGCGAAGTCGACAGAATTTTCGACGAGATATTAGTAAACGGCGTCAGGAGATCGACCTTACTCTCACCCATAATCGATTAAGATCGAGACGATGCACGTCCAAGTCGAATCCACGTGCGGCAGAGCGGCCGTCAACTTCTTCCTAGTCAACGTCGTTTCGTCGCAGACCATCGCGCACCGGTATCCGTACGATCGTCGAGAGCGCGTGCACTCTATCCACCTGAGGGGAACGAAGCTGCAGGACGACATGATAGAATTCCAGTCGCCGCTGAGCAGAGGATCGACGGCCCTGTTCTTCGCGTCCACCGGATCGACGAACATCACGACGAGAGGCAACTTCGACCTTCGCACGAAGACCTCCCTCAACTACCAGCTGCACCAGACT